CCTACATTAGCCCCCCCCCCCCAAACCAGTAATATTACATTGTTCGCTGACAACAATAATACTATGACATTTATATCGCGCAAATGTCTGTTGCAATAATTGTTCTATGTGCGTTACATAATATTCGTGAAAAACATGCATACACACAAACATGCAAATAATAAAATATACTGTTCTACACTCACTAAAAATAACAGAGTAAATAATTCAAGCTAAATATTGAATGCACTCTTTCTTACTAATAAGGAAAAAATTGAGACTCACGTCAATGTCAAAAGCGCCTTAATTACTAATAAAACAGATTATAGTGGAATTCTAATAAAGAAAATACCTCGGGACCGAAAAAAGTGTTGACTTTGAGAGAGGTTGACTGTATCTATTGTACTAATTGTCACTGAAAATTGAAGACGACAGCTACAAAATTACAAAAGTACCTGGTAACAAGATGATAGCTCAGTTTCAGTGAGTATAATTCTGAAGTTCTAACCAAAACAAGAGATAATGAGTGAACAAAGTATTTGGACGTGTGTACACCACTAGCTCAGGCCCCAAATATCTATTCATCTTGGAATTTAGCTCCGAATTGTTGACTTTACGCAAGGTTAACACTCAAGCGGTTGACTGTATCAGAAACACAATTAATTACAGTGGAATCCTGTTATTACAAGAGGGAGGGGATCGGTGCGAAATGTCCGTTATAGCAGGATTCTCGTTATTAAGGGATCCAGTAATAAATTCAAGGGCAATATAATAAAGTAGGCCTAATCTATGAGTTTTGTTTTCGGTTTGTTTCTTTTTGTAATCTTCCCTGACGATAATTTGGTTCAACATGACCTTTAAGTCTTATTTAATCAAAAGTCGAATCAGGTTTCTTTCTCAAACGCTAGCGATGTTGACAGCTCAGCGTTGGCGATCAGAAAAAAAATTCTCTAGGCTAACTGACCCGCCGTGTTGTCCCCCACCCCACTACACCCTGTGGGGTGTTCCGCCTGCTTGCGCACAAAGGGAACATACCACACCCCGCCCACGTCACACATTCGCTTCGCCCATTACAGTACAGCACTATGACCTCTCCATCCCCGCATCGGAGAAGTGAGAGGCATGGTAGGCCTAGATGTCTAGACTGGCCTTTCACACGATGCGTTCTGCTTGTCTGTGCACGCCATACTCTCCCCACTCATTCAATCCGGCCTTCATAGTTGGCACACGTGGGCTCTCCCATTCTTTGTTTCGCAAGATAACCAACAAGTTTCTAAACTGGCGAGGTTTGCGCTGTGCACAGCAGCAGCTATATTCCGCGATAACCGACTTGCGTGTTTGTCTGATTGCGTTATATTAGTATTTTATTTACAAAGATAAAGAATGGAAAAAAGGGTTTTTAGAAAAGTGCCTTTATAACAGACTTCTCGTTATTTCAGGAATCGTTATAAGTGGATTCCACTGTTCTTAAACAAAGGTAAGAAACGGGACCACAGTTAGGTGTTGACTGTAAACAAGAGTTGACTTTAAGCAAGACGACTTTATCAGGATTCCACTGTATCTGTTATTACTGATTATTAAGCTTAAAACTAAAAGTGAAGTTAGTTATCATCAAGAAAAGCAGTGTTCCTCATTATGTCAAAAACATTATTTAAAAAATCAGGGACATCTGCTAAGCTGTCTTCCAAATCTGGGCCCTGTTCCTCTCTGTAAATTTGTTAAATAATTCTGTTGTTATAATCTTTTTTCCTTGTTATTTTTTTCACCTCACAAGAGTGTAATATTACGATGGTTCAAG